TGGACCAGGCAAGCTCTAGGACCAGGCACGCTCCTGGACCAGGCACGCTCCTGGACCATGCAAGCTCCTAGACCAGGCAAGCTCCTAGACCAGGCAAGCTTGTGGACCAGGCAAACTCGTGGACCAGGCTTGCTCCTGGGCCAGGCAAGCTCCTAGACCAGGCAAGCTCCTAGACCACGCAAGGTCCTGGACCACGAAAGTTCTTGGACCAAGTAAGCTCTTGGACTAGGCAGGCTCCTAGACCAGGCAAGCTCCTGGACTAGGCAAGATCCTGGACCACGCAAGCTCCTGGACCACGCAAGCTCTTAGACCAGGCACGCTCCTGGACCAGGCAAGCTCTTGGACCAGGCAGGCTTCTGGACCAAGCAAGCTCTTGGACCAGGCAAGCTCATGGACCAGGCTAGCTCCTGGACGAGGCACGCTCCTGGACCGTGCACGCTCGTGGACCAGGCAAGCTCTTGGATCAAGCAGGCTTGTGGACCAGGCAGGCTCCTAGACCAGGCAATCTCGTGGACTAGGCAAGCTCCTTGACCACGCAAGCTCCTGGACCAGGCAAGCTTCTGGACCAGGCAAGCTTCAGGACCAAGCAAGCTCTTTGACTTGACAAGCTCCTAGACCACGCAATATCCTTGACCAGGCAAGCTCCTGGACCAAGCAAGCTCCTGGACCTGGCAAGCTCCTTTATCAGGCAAGCTCCTCGACCACGCAAGCTCTTGGACCAGGCAAGCTCTTAACCCAGGCACGCTCCTGGACCAGGCAAGCTCTTGGACCAGGCAAGCTTCTGGACAAAGCAAGCTCTTGGACCAGGCAAGCTCTTGGACCAGGCAAGCTCCTGGAGGAGGCAAGCTATTGGACCAGGCACGCTCCTGGACCAGGCAAGCTCTTGGACCACGCAAGCTCGTGGATCAGGCACGCTCCTGGACCAGGCAAGCTCGTGGACCAGGCAAGCTCTTGGACCAGGCAACCTCTTGGACCAGGAAAGATCGTGGACCAGGCAAGCTCTTGGACCAGAAGGCAAGCTCCTGGACCAGGCAAGCTCCTTGACCAGGCAAGCTCCTGGACCACGATAGCTCCTGGACCAGGCAAGCTCCTGGACCAGGCACCCTCCTGGACCATGCAAGCTCCTAGACCAGGCAAGCTCCTGGCCTAGGCAAGCTTCTGGACCAGGCAAACTCGTGGACCAGGCAAGCTCTTGGACCAGGCAAGCTCTTTGACCACGCAAGCTCTTGGACCAAGAAAGCTCCAGGACCAGGCAAGCTCCTGGACCAGGCAAGCTTACGGACCAAGAAAGCTCCTGGACAAGGCAAGCTCTTGGACCAGGCACGCTCGTGGAACAGGCAAGCTCCTGGACCAGGCAAGCTTCTGGACCAGGCAAACTCGTGGACCAGGAACGCTCCTGGACCAGGCAAGCTCCTAGACCAGGCAAGCTCCTAGACCAGGCAAGCTTCTGGACTAGGCAAGCTCCTGGACCAGGCAAGCTCCTGGACCAGGCAAGCTCTTGGACCAGGCAAGCTCCTAGTCCAGGCAAGCTCCTTGACCAGGCAAGCTCCTGGACAACGCAAGCTCATGGACCACGCAAGCTCTTGGACCACGCACGCTCCTGGACCAGGCAAGCTGTTGGACCAGGCAGGCTTCTGGACCAAGCAAGCTCTTGGCACAGGAACGCTCCTGGACCAGGCAAGCTTGTGGACCAGGCAAACTCGTGGACCAGGAACGCTCCTGGACCAGGCAAGCTCCTAGATCAGGCAAGCTCCTAGACCAGGCAAGCTGCTGGACTAGGCAAGCTCCTAGACCAGGCAAGCTCCTGGACCAGGCAAGCTCTTGGACCAGGCAAGCTCCTAGACCAAGCAAGCTCCTTGACCAGGCAAGCTCCTGGACCACGCAAGCTCCTGGACCACGCAAGCTCTTGGACCAAGCACACTCCTGGACCAGGCAAGCTCTTGGACCAGGCAGGCTTCTGGACCAAGCAAGCTCTTGGCACAGGAACGCTCCTGGACGAGGCAAGCTTTTGGACCAGGCAAACTTGTGGACCAGGAACGCTCCTGGACCAGGCAAGCTCCTAGACCAGGCAAGCTCCTAGACCAGGCAAGCTGCTGGACTAGGCAAGCTCCTGGACCAGGCAAGCTCCTAGACCTGGCAAGCTCTTGGACCAGGCAAGCTCCTCGACCAGGCAATCTCCTTGACCAGGCAAGCTCTTGGACCACACAAGCTCCTGGACCATGCAAGCTCTTGGACCAGGCAAGCTCCTGGACCAGGCAAGCTCCTGGACCAGGCAAGCTAATGGACCATGAAAGCTCGTGGACAAGGCAAGCTCCTGGACCAGGCACGCTCGTGGAACAGGCAAGCTCCTGGACCAGGCAAGCTTCAGGACCAGGCAAACTCGTGGACCAGGAACGCGCTTGGACCAAGCAAGCTCCTAGACAAGGCAAGCTCCTAGACCAGGCAAGCTGCTGGACTAGGCAAGCTCCTGGACCAGGCAAGCTTCTGGACCAGGCAAGCTCTTGGACGAGGCAAGCTCCTGGACCAGGCAAGCTCCTTGACTAGGCAAGCTCCTGGACCACGCAAGCTCCTGGACCACGCAAGCTCTTGGACCAGGCAGGCTTCTGGACCAAGCAAGCTCTTGGAACAGAAGGCAAGCTCCTGGACCAGGCAAGCTCCTTGACCAGGCAAGCTCCTGGACCAGGATAGCTCCTGGACCAGGCAAGCTCCTGGACCAGGCACGCTCCTGGACCATGCAAGCTCCTAGACCAGGCAAGCTCCTGGACCAGGCAAGCTTCCGGACCTGGCACGCTCTTGGACCAGGCAAGCTCCTAGACCAGGCAAGCTCCTAGACTAGGCAAGCTCCTGGACCAGGCAAGCTCCTAGACCACGCAAGCTCTTGGACCAGGCAAGCTCTTGGACAAGGCAAGCTCCTAGACCAGGCAAGCTCCTGGACCAGGCAAGCTCCTCGACCACGCAAGCTCCTGGACCAGGCAAGCTCTTAACCCAGACACGCTCCGGGACCAGGCAAGCTCTTGGACCAGGCAGGCTTCTGGACCAAGCAAGCTCTTGGACCATGAAAGCTCCTGGACCAGGCAAGCTCTTGGACCAGGCACGCTCCTGGACCAGGCAAGCTCTTGGACCAGGAGCGTGCCTGGTCGAGGAGCGTGCCTGGTCGAGGAGCGTGCCTGGTCGAGGAGCTTGCCTGATCCAGGAGCGTGCCTGGTCGAGGAGCTTGCCTGATCCAGGAGCTTGCCTGGTCTAGGAGCTTGCCTCGTCCAAGATCTTGCCTGGTCTAGGAGCTTGCCAGGTCCAGGAGCGTTCGTGGTCCAGGAGCTTGCCTGGTCTAGGAGCGTGCCTGGTCCAGGAGCGTGCCTGGTCGAGGAGCTTGCCTGATCCAGGAGCTTGCCTGGTCTAGGAGCTTGCCTCGTCCAAGATCTTGCCTGGTCTAGGAGCTTGCCAGGTCCAGGAGCGTTCGTGGTCCAGGAGCTTGCCTGGTCTAGGAGCTTGCCTGGTCCAGGAGCTTGCCTCGTCCAAGATCTTGCCTGGTCCAGGAGCGTGCCTGGTCCATGAGTTTGCCTGGACCAGGAGCTTGCCTGGTCCAAGAGCTTGCCCGGTCTAGGAGCTTGCCGGGTCCAGGAGCGTGCCTGGTCCAGGAGCTTGCCTAGTCCAGGAGCTTGCCTGGTCAAAGAGCTTGCGTGGTCCAGGAGCTTTGGCTGGTCCAGGAGCTTGCCTGTTCCAGGAGCGTGCCTGGTCCAGGAGCCTGCCCTGTCCTGGAGCTTTCTTGGTCCGTTAGCTTGCCTTGGACCAGGCAAGCTCCACGATCAGGCAAGCTCCAGGACCAGGCAAGCTCCTGGGCCAGGCAAGCTCCTAGACGAGGCAAGCTTATGGACTAGGCACTCTCCTGGACCAGACACATTCCAGGACCAGGCACGCTCCTAGACGAGGCCAGCTCCTGAACCAGGCAAGCTCCTTGACGAGGCAAGCTCTTGGACCAGGCAAGCTTGTGGACTAGGCAAGCTCTTGGACCAGGCAAGCTCTTGGACCAGGCAAGCTCTTGGACCAGGCAAGCTCGTGGACCAGGCAAGCTCCTTGACCAGGCACGCTCCTAGACGAGGCAAGCTCATGGACTAGGCACGCTCCTAGACAAGACACATTCCAAGACCAGGCACGCTCCAGGACCAGGCCAGCTCCTGGACCAGGCAAGCTCCTTGATGAGGCAAGCTCCTGGACCAGGCAAGCTCTTGGTCCCGGCATGCACCTGGACCTGACAAGCTCTTGCACCTGGCAAGCTCTTGGACCAATGAAGCTCCAGGACCAGGCAAGCTCTTGGACCAGGCAAGCTCTTGGACCAGGGAAGCTCCTCGACCAAGGACGCTCCTGGACCAGACAAGCTCTAGGACGAGGCTAGCTCGTGGACCAGGCAAGCACCTGGACCAGGCACGCTCCTGGACCAGGCAAGCTCCTGGACCAGGCACGCTCTGGACCAGGCAAGCTTCTGGACCAGGCAAGCTCATGGACCAGGCACATTTTAGCTTCAAGCACGCTTTTGGACCAGGCCAGCTCCTGGTCCAGGCAAGCTCCTTGACGAGGCAACCTCCTCGACCAGGCAAGCTCTTAGACTAGGCATGCTCCTGGACTAGGCAAGCTTGGACCGAGCAAGCTCTTGGACCAAGCAAGCTCCTGGACCAGGCAAGCTCTTGGACAAGGCAAGCTTTTGGATCAGGCAAGCTCCTTGTCCAAGCAAGCTCCTAGATCAGGCAAGCTCCTGGACCAGGAAAGCTCTTGGACCAGGCAAGCTCCTTGATAAGGCAAGCTCTTTGACGAGGCAAGCTCCTGGACCAGGTAAGCTCCTCGACCACGCAAGCTCTTGGACGAGGCAAGCTCCTGGACCATGCAAGCTCCTAGACAAGGCAAGCTCCTGGACCAGGCAAGCTTCTGGACCAAGCAAGCTCCTAGATCAGGCAAGCTCCTGGACCAGGCAAGCTCCTGGACCAGGCAAGCTCCTGGATCACGCAAGCTCATGGACCAGGCACGCTCCTCGACCACGCAAGCTCCACCTCGACGTCCACGTCCACGTCCACGTCCACATCCATGTCCACGTCCACGTCCACGTCCACTTCCACGTCCACGTCCACATCCACGTCCATGTCCACGTCCACGTCCACGTCCACGACCATGTCCACGTCCACGTCCACGTCCACGTCCATGTCAACGTCCAAGTCCTCCACGTCCACGACCACGTCGACGTCCACGTCCACGTCAACGTCCACGACCACGACCACGTCTACGTCCACGTCCACGTCCACGTCCTCCACGTCCACGTCCACGTCCTCCACGTCCACGTCCTCCACGTCCTCCACGTCCACGTCCTCCACGTCCACGTCCATATCCACGTCCATGACCACGTCCACGTCCACGTCCACGACCACGACCACATCTATGTCCACGTCCACATCTATGTCCACGTCCACGTCCACGTCTATGTCCACGTCCACGTCCAAGTCCATGACCACGTCCATGTCCACGTCAACGTCCATGTCCACGTCCACGTCCACGTCCACGACCATGTCCATGTCCACGTCCATGTCCACGTCCATGTCCATGTCCACGACCATGTCCATGTCCACGACCATGTCCATGTCCACGTCCACGTCCACGACCATGTCCATGTCCACGACCATGTCCATGTCCACGTCCATGTCCATGTCCACGACCATGTCCATGTCTACGTCCACGTCCACGACCATGTCCATGTCCACGACCATGTCCATGTTCACGTCCATGTCCACGTCCACGTCCATGTCCACGTCCACGTCCACGTCCACGTCCACGTCCACGTCCACGTCCACGTCCATGACCACGTCCACGTCCACCTCCACGTCCACGTCCACGTCCATGTCCACGTCCACGTCCACGTCCACGTCCACGTCCACGACTATGTCCACGTCCACGTCCACGTCCACGTCTACCTCCATGTCCACGTCCACGTCCACGTCCACGTCCACGTCCACGTCCATGTCCACGTCCACGTCCACGTCCACGTCCACGTCCATGTCCACGTCCACGTCCACGTCCACGTCCACGTCCACGTCCACGTCCACGTCCATGACCACGTCCACGTCCACCTCCACGTCCACGTCCACGTCCATGTCCACGTCCACGTCCACGTCCACGTCCACGTCCACGACTATGTCCACGTCCACGTCCACGTCCACGTCTACCTCCATGTCCACGTCCACGTCCACGTCCACGTCTACCTCCATGTCCACGTCCACGTCCACGTCCACGTCCACGTCCACGTCCACGTCCATGTCCACGTCCACGTCCACGTCCACGTCCACGTCCATGTCCACGTCCACGTCCACGTCCACGTCCACGTCCACGTCCACGTCCACGTCCATGACCACGTCCACGTCCACCTCCACGTCCACGTCCACGTCCATGTCCACGTCCACGTCCACGTCCACGTCCACGTCCACGACTATGTCCACGTCCACGTCCACGTCCACGTCTACCTCCATGTCCACGTCCATGTCCACGTCCACGTCCACGTGTACGTCCATGTCCACGTCTACGTCCACGTCCACGTCCACATCCACGTCCACGTCCACGTCCTTGTCCTCCTCCTCGTCCACGTCCACGTCCACGTCCATGTCCACGTCCACGTCCTTGTCCTCCTCCTCGTCAACGTCCACGTCCACGTCCACGTCCATGTCCTCCACGTCTACGTCCACGTCCACGTCCACGTGCACGTCAACGTCCAGGTCCAGGTCCAGGTCCACGTCCACGTCCACGTCCACGTCCACGTCCAGGTCCACGTCCATGTCCACGTCCACGTCCACGTCCACGTCCACGTCCATGTCCACGTCCACGTCCACGTCCACGTCCACGTCCTCCACGTCCACGTCCACGTCCACGTCCACGTGCACGTCAACGTCCAGGTCCAGGTCCACGTCCACGTCCACGTCCACGTCCACGTCCACGTCCTCGTCCACGTCCTCGTCCACGTCCACGTCTACGTCCACGTCCACGTCCACGTCCTCGTCCTCGTCCACGTCCACGTCCACGTCCACGTCCATGTCCTCCACGTCCACGTCCACGTGCAGGTCCACGTCCACGTGCACGTCAACGTCCAGGTCCACGTCCACGTGCACGTCCACGTCCACCTCCACGTGCACGTCCACGTCCAGGTCCACGTCCACGTCCACGTCCATGTCCACGTCCACGTCCACGTCCACGACCACGTCCATGTCCACGTCCATGTCCACGTCCACGTCCACGTCCACGTCCACGTCCACGTCCATGTCCACGTCCACGTCCACGTCAACGTCCACGTCCACGTCCACATCCATGACGTCCACGTCCACGTCCATGTCCACGTCCACGTGCACGTCAACGTCCAGGTCCAGGTCCACGTCCACGTCCATGTCCACGTCCACGTCCACGTCCATTTCTACGTCCACGTCCACGTCCACGTCCACGTCCACGTCCATATCCTCCACGTCCACGTCCACGTCCTCGTCCAGATCCACGTCAACGTCCAGGTCCACGTCCACGTCGACGTCCACGTCCACGTCTATGTCCGCGTCAACGTCCACGTCCACGTCCACTTCCATTTCTACGTCCACGTCTACGTCCACATCCACGTCCACGTCCATGTCCTCCACGTCCACCTCCACGTCCAGGTCCACGTGCCATCGATGTCCAGGTCCACGTCCACGTCCACGTCCACGTCCACGTCCACGTCCTCCTCCTCGTCCACGTCCACGTCCACGTCCACGTCCACGTCCACGTCTAGTCCACGTCCACGTCCACGTCCACGTCCATTTCCACGTCCACGTCCACGTCCACGTCCACGTCCATGTCCTCCACGTCCACGTCCACGTTTATGTCCTCCACGTCCACGTCCACGTCCACGTCCACGTCCACGTCAACGTCCAGGTCCAGGTCCACGTCCACGTCCACGTCCACGACCACGTCCACGACCACGTCCACGTCCACGTCCACGTCCACGTCCATCCACGTCCATCCACGTCCACATCCACGTCCTCGTCCTCGTCCACGTCCACGTCCACGTCCACCTCCACGTCCACGTCCTCCACGTCCACGTCCACGTCCACGCGCACGTCAACGTCCAGGTCCACGTCCACGTCAACGTCCAGGTCCACGTCCACGTCCACCTCCATTTCTACGTCCACGTCCACGTCCACGTCCACGTCCACGTCCCATCAACGTCCATGTCCACGTCCATGTCTACGTCCACGTCCACGTCCATGTCCACGTCCACGTCCACGTCCATTTCCACATCCATGTCCACGTCCACGTCCACGTCCACGTCCATTTCTACGTCCATGTCCACGTCCACGTCCACGTCCATGTCCATGTCCATGTCCACGTCCATGTCGACGTCCACGTCCACGTCCATGTCCATGTGCACGTCCACGTCCACGTCCATGTCTACGTCCACGTCCACGTCCACGTCCACGTCCATGTCCACGTCCATGTCCACGTCCATGTCCACGTCCAGGTCCACGTCCAGGTCCACGACCATGTCCACGTCCACTTCCACGTCCTTGTCCACGTCCACGTCCACGTCCAGTTCCACGTCCAGGTCCACGTCCAGGTCCACGTCCACGTCCTCGTCCACTTCCACGTCCACGTCCACGTCCACGTCCACGTCCACGTCCACGTCCACGTCCTCCACGTCCTCGTCCACGTCCTCCACGTCCATGTCCACGTCCTCCACGTCCACGTCCTCCACGTCCACGTCCACAACCACGTCCACGTCCATGTCCACGACCACGACCACGTCCATGTCCACGTCCACGTCCATGACCACGTCCACGTCCACGTCCACGACCACGACCACGACCACGTTCACGTCCACGTCCACGTCCATGACCACGTCCACGTCCACGTCCACGTCCACGACCACGTCCACGTCCACGTCCACGTCCATGTCCACGTGCACGTGCACGTCCACCTCCATGTCCACGTCCATGTCTACGTCTACGTCCACGTCCACGTCCACGTCCACGTCCATGTCCACGTCTACGTCCATGTCCACGTCCACGTCCACTTCTACGTCCACGTCCACGTCCACGTCCACGTCCACGTCCATTTCTACGTCCACGTCCACGTCCACGTCCACGTCCACGTCCATGTCCACGTCCACGTCCAGGTCCACGTCCACGTCTACGTCCACGTCCACGTCCACGTCCACGTCCATGTCCACGTCGACGTCCATGTCCACGTCCACGTCCATGTCCACGTCCACGTCCACGTCCACGTCCACGTCCAAGTCCACGTCCATGTCCACGTCCACGTCCACGTCCACGTCCACGTCCAAGTCCACGTCTACGTCTACGTCCATGTCCACGTCCACGTCCACGTCTACGTCCACGTCCACGTCCACGTCCACGTCCATGTCCACGTCCTCGTCCACGTCCACGTCCACGTCCACGTCCACGTCCATGTCCATGTCCACGTCCATGTCCACGTCCACGTCCACGTCCATGTCCACGTCCACGTCCACGTCCATGTCCACGTCCACGTCCATGTCCACGTCCACGTCCACGTCCACGTCCATGTCCACGTCCATGTCCACGTCCACGTTCACGTCCATGTCCACGTCCACGTCCACGTCCACGTCCACGTCCACGTCCACGTTCACGTCCATGTCCACGTCCACGTCCATTTCTACGTCCACGTCCACGTCCACGTCCACGTCCACGTCCATGTCCACGTCCATGTCCACGTCCACGTCCACGTCCACGTCTACGCCCACGTCCATGTCCACGTCCACGTCTACGTCCACGTCCATGTCCACGTCCACGTCCATGTCCACGTCCACGTCCACGTCCATTTCTACGTCCACGTCCACGTCCATTTCCACGTCCACGTCCACGTCCACGTCCATGTCCACGTCCACGTCCATGTCCACGTCCACGTCCATGTCCACGTCCATGTCCACGTCTATGTCCACGTCCACGTCCACGTCCATGTCCACGTCCACGTCCATGTCCACATCCACGTCCACGTCCATTTCTACGTCCACGTCCATGTCCACGTCCACGTCCACGTCCATTTCTACGTCCACGTCCATTTCTACGTCCACGTCCACGTCCACGTCCACGTCCACGCCCACGTCCATCTCCACGTCCACGTCCACGCCCACGTCCACGTCCACGTCTACGTCCACGTCCACGTCCACGTCCACGTCTATGTCCACGTCCATGTCCACGTCCACGTCCACGTCTACGTCCATGTCTACGTCTACGTCCACGTCCACGTCCACGTCCATGTCCACGTCCTTGTCCACGTCCATGTCCACGTCCACGTCCACGTCTACGTCCACGTCTACGTCCACGTCTACGTCCACGTCCACGTCCACGTCCACCTCCATGTCCACGTCCACGTCCACGTCCACGTCCACGTCCATGTCCATGTCCACGTCCATGTCCACGTCGACGTCCACGTCCATGTCCACGTCCACGTCCACGTCCATGTCGACGTCCACGTCCATGTCCACGTCCACGTCCACGTCCACGTCCATGTCCACGTCCATGTCCACGTCCACGTCCACGTCCATGTCCACGTCCACGTCCACGTCCACGTCCACGTCCACGTCCATGTCCACGTCCACGTCCACGTCCATTTCCACGTCCACGTCCACGTCCACGTCCACGTCCACGTCCACGTCCACGCCCACGTCCACGTCCACGTCCACGTCCACGTCCACGTCCATGTCCACGTCCACGTCCATTTCTACGTCCACGTCCACGTCCACGTCCATGTCCACGTCCACGTCCACGTCCACGTCCATTTCTACGTCCACGTCCACGTCCATTTCCACGTCCACGTCCACGTCCACGTCCACGTCCATGTCCACGTCCACGTCCATGTCCACGTCCACGTCCATGTCCACGTCCATGTCCACGTCCATGTCCACGTCCACGTCCACGTCCATGTCCACGTCCACGTCCATGTCCACGTCCACGTCCACGTCCATTTCTACGTCCACGTCCATGTCCACGTCCACGTCCACGTCCATTTCTACGTCCACGTCCACGTCCACGTCCACGTTCACGTCTACGTCCACGTCCACGTCCATGTCCACGTCCACCTCCATTTCTACGTCCACGTCCATGTCCACGTCCACGTCCATGTCCACGTCCACGTCCACGTCCATGTCCACGTCTACGTCCACGTCCACGTCCACGTCCACGTCTACGTCCATGTCCACGTCCACGTCCACGTCCACGTCCACGTCCACGTCCACGTCCACGTCCATGTCCACGTCCATGTCCACGTCCATGTCCACGTCCACGTCCCCGTCCATGTCCACGTCCACGTCCACGTCCACGTCCACGTCCATGTCCACGTCCACGTCCACGTCCACGTCCACGTCCACGTCCACGTCCATGTCCATGTCCACGTCCACGTCCATGTCCACGTCCATGACCATGTCCACGTCCATGTCCACGTCCACGTCCACGTCCACGTCCATGTCCACGTCCATGTCCACGTCCACGTCCACGTCCATGTCCACGTCCATGTCCACGTCCACGTCCACGTCCATTTCTACAACCACGTCCACATCCATGTCCACGTCCACGTCCATGTCCACGTCCACGTCCATGTCCACGTCCATGACCATGTCCACGTCCATGTCCACTTCCACGTCCACGTCCACGTCCACGTCCACGTCCACGTCCACGTCTACGTCCACGTCCACGTCCACGTCCACGTCCACGTCCACCTCCACGTCCACGTCCACGTCCATGTCTATGTCCACGTCCACGTCCACGTCCACGTCCACGTCCATGTCCACGTCCATGTCCACGTCCATGTCCACGTCCACGTCCACGTCCACGTCCATGTCCACGTCAACGTCCACGTCCATTTCTACGTCCACGTCCACGTCCATGTCCACGTCCACGTCCACGTCCATTTCTACGTCCACGTCCACGTCCATGTCCTCGTCCACGTCCACGTCTATGTCCACGTCCACGTCCATATCCACTTCCACGTCCACGTCCACGTCCATTTCTACGTCCACGTCCACGTCCATTTCTACGTCCACGTCCACGTCCACGTTCATGTCCACGTCCACGTCCATGTCCATGTCCATGTCCATGTCCACGTCCATGTCCATGTCCATGTCCACGTCCATGTCCACGTCCATGTCCACGTCCACGTCCACGTCCACGTCCATAACTACGTCCACGTCCACGTCCACATCCACGTCCACGTCCACGTCCATGTCCACGTCCACGTCCACGTCCACGTCCACGTCCATGTCCACGTCCACGTCCACGTCCACGTCTACGTCCACGTCCACGTCCATGTCCTCGTCCACGTCCACGTCTATGTCCACGTCCACGTCCATATCCACTTCCACGTCCACGTCCACGTCCATTTCTACGTCCACGTCCACGTCCATTTCTACGTCCACGTCCACGTCCACGTTCATGTCCACGTCCACGTCCATGTCCATGTCCATGTCCATGTCCACGTCCATGTCCATGTCCATGTCCACGTCCATGTCCACGTCCATGTCCACGTCCACGTCCACGTCCATAACTACGTCCACGTCCACGTCCACATCCACGTCCACGTCCACGTCCATGTCCACGTCCACGTCCACGTCCACGTCCACGTCCATGTCCACGTCCACGTCCACGTCCACGTCCACGTCCACGTCCATTTCTACGTCACGTCCACGTCCACGTCCATGTCCACGTCCACGTCCACGTCCATTTCTACGTCCACGTCCACGTCCACGTCCATGTCCACGTCCACGTCCACGTCCACGTCCATGTCCACGTCGACGTCCACGTCCATGTCCACGTCCACGTCCACGTCCACGTCCACGTCGACGTCCACGTCCACGTCCACGTCCACGTCCATGTCCACGTCCACGTCCACGTCTACGTCCACGTCCACGTCCAGGTCCACGTCCACGTCCACGTCCATGTCTACGTCCATGTCCACGTCCACGTCCACGTCCACGTCCAGGTCCACGTCCACGTCCATGTCCACGTCCACGTCTACGTCCACGTCCATGTCCACGTCCACGTCCACGTCCACGTCTACGTCCACGTCCACGTCCACGTCCACGTCCACGTCTACGTCCATGTCCACGTCCACGTCCATGTCCACGTCCACGTCCATGTCCACGTCCACGTCCATGTCCACGTTCACGTCCACGTCCATGTCCACGTCCACGTCCGCGTCCACGTCCATGTCCACGTCCACGTCCACGTCTACGTCCATGTCCACGTCCACGTCCATGTCCACGTCCACGTCCAAGTCCACGTCCATGTCCACGTCCATGTCCACGTCCACGTCCACGTCCACGTCCACGTCCATGTCCACGTCCACGTCCATGTCCACGTCCACGTCCATATCCACGTCCATGTCCACGTCCATGTCCACGTCCACGTCCACGTCCATGTCCACGTCCACGTCCACGTCCATGTACACGTCCACGTCCACGTCCACGTCCACATCCATGTCCACGTCCATGTCCACGTCCATGTCCAAGTCCACGTCCATGTCCACGTCCACGTCTACGTCCACGTCCACGTCCACGTCCATGTCCACGTCCATGTCCACGTCCACGTCCACGTCCATGTCCATGTCCACGTCCACGTCCACGTCCACGTCCATTTCTACGTCCACGTCCACGTCTACGTCCACGTCCATGTCCACGTCCACGTCCACGTCCATTTCTACGACCACGTCCACGTCCATGTCTATGTCCACGTCCATGTCCACGTCCACGTCCACGTCCACGTCCATTTCTACGTCCACGTCCACGTCCACGTCCATGTCCACGTCCATGTCCACGTCCACGTCCACGTCTACGTCCACGTCTACGTCCACGTCCACGTCCACGTCTACGTCCACGTCCATGTCCACGTCCATGTTCACGTCCATTTCTACGTCCACGTCCATGTCCACGTCCACGTCCATGTCCACGTCCACGTCCACGTCCATGTGCACGTCCACGTCCACGTCCATTTCTACGTCCTTGTCCATGTCCACGTCCACCTCCACGTCCACGTCCACGTCCATTTCCAGGTCCACGTCCACGTCCACGTCCACGTCCACGTCCATGTCCAGGTCCACGTCCACGTCCACGTCCACGTCCATGTCTACGTCCATGTCCACGTCCACGTCCACGTCCACGTCCACGTCCACGTCCACGTCTCGTCCACGTGCAAGTCCACGTCCACGTCCAAGTCCACGTCCATGTCCACGTCCATGTCCACGTCCACGTCCACGTCCACGTCCACGTCCACGTCCATGTCCACGTCCACGTCCATGTCCACGTCCACGTCCATGTCCACGTCCATGTCCACGTCCATGTCCACGTCCACGTCCACGTCCATGTCCACGTCCACGTCCATGTCCACGTCCACGTCCACGTCCACGTCCATGTCCACGTCCACGTCCACGTCTACGTCCATGTCCACGTCCATGTCCACGTCCACGTCCAAGTCCACGTCCATGTCCACGTCCACGTCTACCTCCATGTCCACGTCCATGTCCACGTCCTGGTTCAAATCCACGTCCATGCCCACGTCCACGTCTACGTCCACGTCCACGTCCACGTCCATGTCCATGTCCATGTCCACGTCCATGTCCACGTCCATGTCCACGTCCACGTCCACGTCCACGTCCACGTCCATAACTACGTCCACGTCCACGTCCACATCCACGTCCACGTCCACGTCCATGTCCACGTCCACGTCCACGTCCACGTCCACGTCCATGTCCACGTCCACGTCCACGTCCACGTCTACGTCCACGTCCACGTCCATGTCCTCGTCCACGTCCACGTCTATGTCCACGTCCACGTCCATATCCACTTCCACGTCCACGTCCACGTCCATTTCTACATCCACGTCCACGTCCATTTCTACGTCCACGTCCACGTCCACGTTCATGTCCACGTCCACGTCCATGTCCATGTCCATGTCCATGTCCACGTCCATGTCCATGTCCATGTCCACGTCGATGTCCACGTCCATGTCCACGTCCACGTCCACGTCCATAACTACGTCCACGTCCACGTCCACATCCACGTCCACGTCCACGTCCATGTCCACGTCCACGTCCACGTCCACGTCCACGTCCATGTCCACGTCCACGTCCACGTCCACGTCCACGTCCACGTCCATTTCTACGTCCACGTCCACGTCCACGTCCATGTCCACGTCCACGTCCACGTCCATTTCTACGTCCACGTCCACGTCCACGTCCATGTCCACGTCCACGTCCACGTCCACGTCCATGTCCACGTCGACGTCCACGTCCATGTCCACGTCCACGTCCACGTCCACGTCCACGTCGACGTCGATGTCCACGTCCACGTCCACGTCCATGTCCACGTCCACGTCCACGTCCACGTCCACGTCCACGTCCAGGTCCACGTCCACGTCCACGTCCATGTCTACGTCCATGTCCACGTCCACGTCCACGTCCACGTCCAGGTCCACGTCCACGTCCATGTCCACGTCCACGTCTACGTCCACGTCCATGTCCACGTCCACGTCCACGTCCACGTCTACGTCCACGTCCACGTCCACGTCCACGTCCACGTCCACGTCTACGTCCATGTCCACGTCCACGTCCATGTCCACGTCCACGTCCATGTCCACGTCCACGTCCATGTCCACGTTCACGTCCATGTCCATGTCCACGTCCACGTCCGCGTCCACGTCCATGTCCACGTCCACGTCCACGTCTACGTCCATGTCCACGTCCACGTCCATGTCCACGTCCACGTCCAAGTCCACGTCCATGTCCACGTCCATGTCCACGTCCACGTCCACGTCCACGTCCACGTCCACGTCCATGTCCACGTCCATGTCCACGTCCACGTCCATATCCACGTCCATGTCCACGTCCATGTCCACGTCCACGTCCACGTCCATGTCCACGTCCACGTCCACGTCCATGTACACGTCCACGTCCACGTCCACGTCCACATCCATGTCCACGTCCATGTCCACGTCCATGTCCAAGTCCACGTCCATGTCCACGTCAACGTCTACGTCCACGTCCACGTCCACGTCCATGTCCACGTCCATGTCCACGTCCACGTCCACGTCCATGTCCATGTCCACGTCCACGTCCACGTCCACGTCCATTTCTACGTCCACGTCCACGTCTACGTCCACGTCCATGTCCATGTCCACGTCCACGTCCATTTCTACGACCACGTCCACGTCCATGTCTATGTCCACGTCCATGTCCACGTCCACGTCCACGTCCACGTCCATTTCTACGTCCACGTCCACGTCCACGTCCATGTCCACGTCCATGTCCACGTCCACGTCCACGTCCACGTCCACGTCTGCCTCCACCTCGACGGCCACGTCCACGTCCACGTCCACGTCTACGTCCACGTCCATGTCCACGTCCACGTTCACGTCCATTTCTACGTCCACGTCCATGTCCACGTCCACGTCCATGTCCACGTCCACGTCCACGTCCATGTGCACGTCCACGTCCACGTCCATTTCTACGTCCTTGTCCATGTCCACGTCCACCTCCACGTCCACGTCCACGTCCACGTCCATTTCCAGGTCCACGTCCACGTCCACGTCCACGTCCACGTCCATGTCCAGGTCCACGTCCACGTCCACGTCCACGTCCACGTCCATGTCTACGTCCATGTCCACGTCCACGTCCACGTCCACGTCCACGTCCACGTCCACGTCTCGTCCACGTGCAAGTCCACGTCCACGTCCAAGTCCACGTCCATGTCCACGTCCATGTCCACGTCCACGTCCACGTCCACGTCCACGTCCACGTCCATGTCCACGTCCACGTCCATGTCCACGTCCACGTCCATGTCCACGTCCATGTCCACGTCCATGTCCACGTCCACGTCCACGTCCATGTCCACGTCCACGTCCATGTCCACGTCCACGTCCACGTCCACGTCCATGTCCACGTCCACGTCCACGTCTACGTCCATGTCCACGTCCATGTCCACGTCCACGTCCAAGTCCACGTCCATGTCCACGTCCACGTCTACCTCCATGTCCACGTCCATGTCCACGTCCTGGTTCAAATCCACGTCCATGCCCACGTCCACGTCTACGTCCACGTCCACGTCCACGTCCACGTCCACGTCCATGTCCACGTCCACGTCCACGTCCACGTCCACCTCCATATCCATGACCACGTCCATGTCCACGTCCACGTCCATGTCCATGTCCACGTCCACGTCCACGTCCACGTCCATTTCTACGTCCACGTCCACGTCCACGTCTACGTCCACGTCCATGTCCACGTCCACGTCCACGTCCATTTCTACGTCCACGTCCACGTCCACGTCCATGTCCAATTCCACGTCCACGTCCACGTCCACGTCCATTTCTACGTCCACGTCCACGTCCACGTCCATGTCCACGTCCATGTCCACGTCCACGTCCACGTCCACGTCCACGTCCACGTCCACGTCCACGTCTACGTCCACGTCCACGTCCACGTCTACGTCCACGTCCATGTCCACGTCCACTTCTACGTCCACGTCCATGTCCACGTCCACGTCCATGTCCACGTCCACGTCCACGTCCATGTGCACGTCCACGTCCACGTCCATTTCTACGTCCTTGTCCATGTCCACGTCCATCTCCACGTCCACGTCCACGTCTACGTCCACGTCCACGTCCACGTCCATGTCCACGTCCATGTCCACGTCCACGTCCACGTCCACGTCCACGTCTACGTCCACGTCCACGTCCACGTCTACGTCCACGTCCACGTCCACATCCACGTCCTCGTCCATTTCTACGTCCACGTCCATGTCCACGTCCACGTCCATGTCCACGTCCACGTCCATGTGCACGTCCACGTCCACGTCCATTTCTACGTCCTTGTCCATGTCCACGTCCACCTCCACGTCCACGTCCACGTCCACGTCCACGTCCACGTCCATGTCCACGTCCACGTCCACGTCCATGTCCACGTCCACGTCCACGTCCACGTCCACGTCCACGTCCATGTCCACGTCCATGTCCACGTCCACGTCCACGTCCACGTCCACGTCCACGTCCATGTCCAGGTCCACGTCCACATCCACGTCCACGTCCACGTCCACATCTACGTCCACGTCCATGTCCACGTCCACGTCCACGTCCACGTCCATGTCCACGTCCATTTCTACGTCCACGTCCACGTCCACGTCCATGTCCACGTCCACGTCCATTTCTACGTCCACGTCCACGTCCACGTCCATGTCCACGTCCACGTCCACGTCCACGTCCATGTCCACGTCCACGTCCACGTCCATGTCCACGTCCACGTCCACGTCCACGTCCACGTCCACGTCCACGTCCACGTCCACGTCCATGTCCACGTCCACGTCCACGTCCATGTCCACGTCCACGTCCACGTCCACGTCCTCGTCCAGGTCCACGTCCACGTCCATGTCCACGTCCATGTCCACGTCCACGTCCACGTCCACGTCCTCGTCCACATCCACGTCCTCGTCCATTTCTACGTCCATGTCCATGTCCACGTCCATGTCCACGTCCACATCCACGTCCATGTCCACGTCCATGTCCACGTCCACGTCCATGTCCACGTCCATGTCCACGTCCACGTCCATGTCCATGTCCACGTCCACGTCCACGTCCACGTCCTCGTCCAGGTCCACGTCCACGTCCATGTCCACGTCCATGTCCACGTCCATGTCCACGTCCATGTCCACGTCCACGTCCACGTCCATGTCCACGTCCATGTCCACGTCCACGTCCACGTCCACGTCCACGTCTACGTCCACGTCCACGTCCACGTCTACGTCCACGTCCACGTCCACATCTACGTCCACGTCCATGTCCACGTCCACGTCCATGTCCACGTCCACGTCCATGTGCACGTCCACGTCCACGTCCATTTCTACGTCCTTGTCCATGTCCACGTCCACCTCCACGTCCACGTCCACGTCCACGTCCACGTCCACGTCCATGTCCACGTCCACGTCCACGTCCATGTCCACGTCCACGTCCACGTCCACGTCCACGTCCACGTCCATGTCCACGTCCATGTCCACGTCCACGTCCACGTCCACGTCCACGTCCACGTCCATGTCCAGGTCCACGTCCACATCCACGTCCACGTCCACGTCCACATCTACGTCCACGTCCATGTCCACGTCCACGTCCACGTCCACGTCCATGTCCACGTCCATTTCTACGTCCACGTCCACGTCCACGTCCATGTCCACGTCCACGTCCATTTCTACGTCCACGTCCACGTCCACGTCCATGTCCACGTCCACGTCCACGTCCACGTCCATGTCCACGTCCACGTCCACGTCCATGTCCACGTCCACGTCCACGTCCACGTCCACGTCCACGTCCACGTCCACGTCCACGTCCATGTCCACGTCCACGTCCACGTCCATGTCCACGTCCACGTCCACGTCCACGTCCTCGTCCAGGTCCACGTCCACGTCCACGTCCATGTCTACGTCCACGTCCACGTCCACGTCCACGTCCACGTCCATTTCTACGTCCACGTCCATGCCTACGTCCATGTCTACGTCCACGTCCACGTCCATTTCTACGTCCACGTCCATGTCCACGTCCACGTCCATGTCCACGTCCACGTCCATGTCCACGTCCATGTCCACGTCCATGTCAACGTCCACGTCCATGTCCACGTCTATGTCCATGTCCACGTCCACGTCCACGTCCATGTCCACGTCCACGTCCACGTCTACGTCCATGTCCACGTCCATGTCCACGTCCACGTCCAAGTCCACGTCCATGTCCACGTCCACGTCTACGTCCACGTCCACGTCCACGTCTACGTCCACGTCCATGTCCACGTCCACGTCCATGTCCATTTCTACGTCCACGTCCATGTCCACGTCCACGTCCATGTCCACGTCCACGTCCACGTCCATGTGCACGTCCACGTCCACGTCCATTTCTACGTCCTTGTCCATGTCCACGTCCACCTCCACGTCCACGTCCACGTCCACGTCCATTTCCAGGTCCACGTCCACGTCCACGTCCACGTCCACGTCCATGTCCAGGTCCACGTCCACGTCCACGTCCACGTCTACGTCCACGTCCATGTCCATGTCCACGTCCACGTCCACGTCCACGTCCATTTCTACGTCCACATCCACGTCCATGTCCACGTCCACGTCCACGTCCATTTCTACGTCCACGTCCACGTCCACGTCCACGTCCACGTCCACGTCCACGTCCACGTCCACGTCCAGGTCCACGTCCACGTCCATGTCCACGTCCACGTCCACGTCCACGTCCACGTCCACGTCCAGGTCCACGTCCACGTCCACGTCCACGTCCACGTCCACGTCCAGGTCCACGTCCACGTCCACGTCCACGTCCATGTCTACGTCCACGTCCACGTCCACGTCCACGTCCACGTCCATGTCCACGTCCACGTCCATGTCCACGTCCACGTCCACGTCCACGTCCATGTCCACGTCCACGTCCATGTCCACGTCCACGTCCACGTCCATGTCCACGTCCACGTCCACGTCCACGTCCACGTCTTCGTCCATGTCCACGTCCACGTCCATGTCCACGTCCACGTCCAAGTCCACGTCCATGTCCACGTCCATGTCCACGTCCACGTCCACGTCCACGTCCACGTCCATGTCCACGTCCACGTCCATGTCCACGTCCACGTCCATGTCCACGTCCATGTCCACGTCCATGTCCACGTCCACGTCCATGTCCACGTCCACGTCCATGTCCACGTCCACGTCCACGTCCACGTCCACGTCCACGTCCACGTCCATGTCCACGTCCATGTCCACGTCCAGGTCCAAGTCCACGTCCATGTCCACGTCCACGTCTACGTCCACGTCCACGTCCACGTCCATGTCCACGTCCACGTCCACGTCCACCTCCATGTCCACGTCCACGTCCATTTCTACGTCCACGTCCACGTCTACGTCCACGTCCATGTCCACGTCCACGTCCACGTGCATTTCTACGTCCACGTCCACGTCCACGTCCATGTCCACGTCCATGTCCACGTCCACGTCCACGTCCACGTCCATTTCTACGTCCACGTCCACGTCCACGTCTACGTCTACGGCCACGTCCACATCTACGTCCACGTCTATGTCCACGTCCACGTCCACGTCCATTTCTACGTCCACGTCCATGTCCATGTCCACGTCCATGTCCACGTCCATGTCCACGTCCATGTCCACCTCCACGTCCACCTCCACGTCCACGTCCACGTCCATGTCCACGTCCACCTCCACGTCCACGTCCCTGTCCACGTCCACGTCCATGACCACGTCTACGTCCTCCACGTCCATGTTTACGTCCACGTCCACGTCCACGTCCATGTCCTCCACGTCCACCTCCACGTCCACGTCCACGTGCCATCGACGTCCAGGTCCACGTCCACGTCCACGTCCACGTCCACCTCCACGTGGTCGACATGGACGTGGACATGGACGTGGACATGGACGTGGACATGGACGTGGACGTGGACGTGGACGTGGACGTGGACCTGGACGTGGACCTGGACGTGGACGTGGACGTGGACGTGGAGGACGTGGACGTGGTCATGGACGTGGACGTGGACAGGGACGTGGACGTGGACGTGGACGTGGACCTGGACGTGGACGTGGACGTGGACTTGGACGTGGACGTGGACATGGACGTGGACATGGACGTGGACATGGACGTGGACGTGGACATGGACGTGGACATCGATGTGGACGTGGACATGGACATGGACATGGACATGGACGTGGACGTGGACGTGGACATGGACGTGGACATGGACGTGGACGTGGACGTGGACATGGACGTGGACGTGGACGTGGACGTGGACGTGGACATGGACGTGGACGTGGACGTGGACTTGGACGTGGACGTGGACATGGACGTAGACATGGACGTGGACGTGGACGTGGACGTGGACGTGGACGTGGACGTGGATGTGAACGTGGAGGTGGACGTGGAGGTGGAGGTGGACGTGGACATGGACGTCGACATGGACGTGAACATGGACGTGGATGTGGACGTGGACGTGGACGTGGACGTGGACGTGGAGGTGGACGTGGAGGTGGACGTGGAGGTGGAGGTGGAGGTGGACGTGGACATGGACGTGGACGTGGACGTGGACGTGGACGTGGACGTGGACGTGGACGTGGAGGTGAACGTGGAGGTGGACGTGGAGGTGGACGTGGACGTGGATGTGGACGTGGAGGTGGACGTCGACATGGACGTGGACATGGACGTGGACATGGACGTGGACGTGGACGTGGACGTGGACGTGGACTTGGACGTGGACGTGGACGTGGACGTGGACATGGACGTGGACATGGACGTGGACGTGGACGGGGACGTGGACGTGGACGTGGACGTGGACGTGGACGTGGACGTGGACGTGGACATGGACGTGGATGTGGACGTGGACGTGGACGTGGACATGGACGTGGACGTGGACGTGGACTTGGACGTGGACGTGGACGTGGACGTGGACTTGGACGTGGACGTGGACGTGGACATGGACGTGGACGTGGACAGGGACGTGGACGTGGACATGGACGTGGACGTGGACATGGACGTGGACGTGGACGTGGAGGTGGACGTGGAGGTGGAGGTGGACATGGACGTGGACATGGACGTCGACGTGGACGTGGACGTGGACGTGGACGTGGACGTGGACATGGACGTGGACATGGACGTAGACGTGGATGTGGAGGTGGACGTGGAGGTGGACGTGGACGTGGACGTGGACGTGGAGGTGGACGTGGAGGTGGACGTCGACATGGACGTGGACATGGACGTGGACATGGACGTGGACGTGGTGGTGGACGTGGACGTGGACGTGGACATGGACGTGGACGTGGACGTGGACTTGGACGTGGACGTGGACATGGACGTAGACATGGACGTGGACGTGGACGTGGACGTGGACGTGGAGGTGGAGGTGGAGGTGGACGTGGAGGTGGAGGTGGAGGTGGACGTGGACATGGACGTCGACATGGACGTGGACATGGACGTGGACGTAGACGTGGACGTGGACGTGGACGTGGACGTGGATGTGGACGTGGAGGTGGACGTGGACGTGGACGTGGACGTGGACGTGGACATGGACGAGGACGTGGAGGACGTGGACGTGGACATGGACGTGGACGTGGACAGGGACGTGGACGTGGACGTGGAGGTGGACGTGGAGATGGACGTGGACATGGACGTGGACGTGGACGTGGACGTGGACGTGGACGTGGACGTGGACGTGGATGTGAACATGGACGTGGACGTGGACGTGGACATGGACGTGGACGTGGACATGGACGTGGACGTGGACGTGGACTTGGACGTGGACGTGGACGTGGACGTGGACGTGGACGTGGACATGGACTTGGACGTGGACTTGGACGTGGACGTGGACGTGGACGTAGACATGGACGTGGACGTGGACGTGGAGGTGCACGTGGAGGTGGACGTGGACGTGGACGTGGACGTGGACGTGGACGTGGAGGTGGACGTAGAGGTGGACGTGGAGGTGGACGTGGACGTGGACGTGGAGATGGACGTGGAGGTGGACGTGGACGTGGATGTGGACGTGGACGTGGAGGTGGAGGTGGAGGTGGACGTGGACATGGACGTGGACATGGACGTGGACGTGGACGTGGAGGTGGACGTGGAGGTGGACGTGGACGTGGACGTGGACGTGGGCGTGGAGGTGGACGTGGAGGTGGACGTCGACATGGACGTGGACATGGACGTGGACTTGGACGTGGACGTGGACGTGGACGTGGACGTGGACGTGGACGTGGACATGGACGTGGACGTGGACTTGGACGTGGACGTGGACATGGACGTAGACATGGACGTGGACGTGGACGTGGACGTGGAGGTGGAGGTGAAGGTGGAGGTGGACGTGGACATGGACGTCGACATGGACGTGGACGTGGACGTGGACGTGGACGTGGACGTGGACGTGGACGTGGACGTGGAGGTAGACGTGGAGGTGGACATAGACGTGGACGTGGAGGACGTGGAGGTGGACATGGACGTGGACGTGGACAGGGAGGTGGACGTGGACATGGACGTGGACGTGGACAGGGAGGTGGACGTGGACGTGGAGGTGGACGTGGAGATGGACGTGGACATGGACGTAGACGTGGACGTGGACGTGGACGTGGACATGGACGTGGACATGGACGTGGACGTGGACGTGGACGTGGACGTGGACGTGGACATGGACGTGGACGTGGACGTGGACGTGGACGTGGACGTGGACGTGGACGTGGACGTAGACGTGGACGTGGACTTGGACGTGGACGTGGACGTGGACATGGACGTCGACGTGGACGTGGACGTAGACATGGACGTGGACGTGGACGTGGAGGTGGACGTGGACGTGGACGTGGAGGTGGAGGTGGACGTGGACGTGGAGGTGGACGTGGAGGTGGAGGTGGAAGTGGAGGTGGAGGTGGACGTGGAGGTGGACGTGGAGGTGGACGTAGACATGGACGTAGACATGGACGTGGACGTGGACGTGGACGTGGACATGGACGTGGACATGGACGTGGACGTGGACATGGACGTGGACGTGGACGTGGACGTGGACGTGGACATGGACATGGACATCGACGTGGACGTGGACGTGGACGTGGACATGGACGTGAACGTGGACGTGGACATGGACGTGGACATGGACGTGGACATGGACGTGGACGTGGACCTGGACATGGACGTGGACGTGGACATGGACGTGGACGTGGACGTGGACTTGGACGTGGACGTGGACGTGGACGTGGACGTGGACGTGGACATGGACGTGGACGTGGACGTGGACGTGGAGGTGGACGTGGACGTGGACCTGGACGTGGAGGTGGACGTGGACGTAGACGTGGAGGTGGACGTGGACGTGGAGGTGGAGATGGACGTGGAGGTGGACGTGGACGTGGACATGGACGTGGACATGGACGTGGACGTGGACGTGGACGTGGAGGTGGACGTGGAGGTGGACGTGGAGGTGGACGTGGACGAGGACGTGGACGTGGACGTGGACGTGGACGTGGAGGTGGACGTGGACGTGGACGTGGAGGTGGACGTGGAGGTGGACGTGGAGGTGGACGTGGACGTGGACGTGGAGGTGGACGTGGAGGTGGACGTGGAGATGGACGTGGACGTGGACGTGGACTTGGACTTGGATGTGGACGTGGAGGTGGACGTGGAGGTGGACGTGGAGATGGACGTGGACGTGGACGTGGACTTGGACTTGGACGTGGACGTGGACGTGAAGGTGGACGTGGACGTGGACGTGGACGTGGACGTGGACGTGGACGTGGACGTGGACATGGACGTGGACGTGGACGTGGACGTGGACGTGGACGTGGACGTGGACGTGGACGAGGACGTGGACATGGACGTGGAGGTGGTCGTGGAGATGGACGTGGACGTGGACGTGGACGTGGAGGTGGACGTGGAGGTGGACTTAGGGGTGGACGTGGAGGTGGATGTGGAGGTGGACGTGGAGGTGGACGTGGACATGGACGTGGACGTGGACGTGGACGTGGACGTGGACGTGGACGTGGAGGTGGACGTGGAGGTGGACGTGGAGGTGGACGTGGAGGTGGACGTGGAGGTGGACGTGGACGTGGACGTGGACGTGGACGAGGACGTGGAGGTGGACGTGGACGTGGACGTGGAGGTGGACGTGGAGGTGGACGTGGAGGTGGACGTGGACATGGACGTGGAGGTGGACGTGGACGTGGAGGTGGACGTGGAGGTGGACGTGGACGTGGACGTGGACGTGGACTTGGACGTGGCCGTGGACGTGGAAATGGACGTGGACGAGGACGTGGACATGGACTTGGACGTGGACGTGGATGTGGACGTGGACGTGGACATGGACGTGGACGTGGACGTGGACGTGGACGTGGACGTGGACGTGGACGTGGACGTGGACCTGGACGTGGACTTGGACGTGGACATGGACGTGGACATGGACGTGGACGTGGACGTGGACGTGGACATGTACGTGAACGTGGACGTGGACATGGACGTGGACGTGGACGTGGACGTGGACGTGGACGTGGGCGTGGACGTGGACGTGGACTGACGTGGACATGGACGTGGACGTGGACGTGGACGTGAACGTGGACGTGGACATGGACGTAGACGTGGACGTGGACATGGACGTGGACGTGGACATGGACGTGGACGTGGACTGACGTGGACATGGACGTGGACGTGGACTGACGTGGACATGGACGTGGACGTGGACGTGGACGTGGACGTGGACGACGTTGACATGGACGTGGACGTGGACTGACGTGGACATGGACGTGGACGTGGACGTGGACGTGGACTTGGACGTGGACGTGGATGTGGACGTGGACGTGGACGTGGACGTGGACATGGACGTGGACGTGGACGTGGACATGGACGTGGACGTGGACGTGGACGTGGACCTGGACGTGGACGTGGACGTGGACGTGGACATGGACGTGGACATGGACGTGGACATGGACGTGGACGTGGACATCGACGTGGACGTGGACGTGGACGTGGACATGGACGTGGACATGGACATGGACATGGACATGGACATGGACATGGACGTGGACATGGACATGGACATGGACATGGACATGGACATGGACATGGACATGGACATGGACGTGGACATCGACGTGGACGTGGACATCGACGTGGACGTGGACATGGACGTGGACATGGACATGGACGTGGACATGGACGTGGACGTGGACGTGGACGTGGACGTGGACGTGGACGTGGACGTGGAGGTGGACGTGGAGGTGGACGTGGAGGTGGACGTGGAGGTGGACGTGGAGGTGGAGGTGGACGTGGACATGGACGTGGACGTGGACGTGGACGTGGACGTGGACGAGGACGTGGAGGTGGACGTGGACGTGGACGTGGAGGTGGACGTGGAGGTGGACGTGGAGGTGGACGTGGACGTGGACGTGGAGGTGGACGTGGACGTGGAGGTGGACGTGGAGGTGGACGTGGACGTGGACGTGGACGTGGACTTGGACGTGGCCGTGGACGTGGAAATGGACGTGGACGAGGACGTGGACATGGACTTGGACGTGGACGTGGACGTGGACGTGGACGTGGACATGGACGTGGACGTGGACGTGGACGTGGACGTGGACGTGGACCTGGACGTGGACTTGGACGTGGACATGGACGTGGACGTGGACGTGGACATGGACGTGGACGTGGACATGTACGTGAACGTGGACGTGTACGTGAACGTGGACGTGGACGTGGACGTGGACGTGGACGTGGACATGGACGTGGACGTGGACGTGGACGTGGACATGGACGTGGACGTGGACATGGACGTGGACGTGGACGTGGACATGGACGTGGACATGGACGTGGACATGGACGTGGACGTGGACATGGACGTGGACGTGGACATGGACGTGGACGTGGACGTGGACGTGGACGTGGACGTGGACATGGACGTGGACATGGACGTGGACTTGGACGTGGACGTGGACTTGCACGTGGACGAGACGTGGACGTGGACGTGGACGTGGACGTGGACGTGGACGTGGACATGGACGTAGACATGGACGTGGACGTGGACGTGGACGTGGACGTGGACCTGGACATGGACGTGGACGTGGACGTGGACGTGGACGTGGACCTGGAAATGGACGTGGACGTGGACGTGGACGTGGAGGTGGACGTGGACATGGACAAGGACGTAGAAATGGACGTGGACGTGGACGTGCACATGGACGTGGACGTGGACGTGGACATGGACGTGGACGTGGACATGGACGTGGACGTAGAAATGGACGTGAACGTGGACGTGGACATGGACGTGGACGTAGACGTGGACGTGGACGTGGACGTAGACGTGGACGTGGACGTGGACGTGGACGTGGACATGGACGTGGACATGGACGTGGACGTGGACGTGGACGTAGAAATGGACGTGGACGTGGACGTGGACGTGGACATGGACGTGGACATAGACATGGACGTGGACGTGGTCGTAGAAATGGACGTGGACGTGGACATGGACATGGACGTGGACGTAGACGTGGACGTGGACGTAGAAATGGACGTGGACGTGGACGTGGACGTGGACATGGACATGGACGTGGACGTGGACGTGGACATGGACGTGGACATGGACGTGGACGTGGACGTGGACGTAGACGTTGACGTGGACATGGACGTGGACTTGGACATGGACGTGGACATGGACGTGGACATGGATGTGGACGTGGACGTGGACGTGGACGTGTACATGGACGTGGACGTGGACGTGGACATGGACGTGGACGTGGACGTGGACATGGACGTGGACATGGACGTGGATATGGACGTGGACGTGGACATGGACGTGGACATGGACGTGGACGTGGACGTGGACGTGGACGTGGACGTGGACATGGACGTGGACATGGACGTGGACTTGGACGTGGACGTGGACATGGACGTGGACGTGGACATGGACGTAGACGTGGACGTGGACGTGGACATGGACGTGGACGCGGACGTGGACGTGGACATGGACATGGACGTGAACGTGGACATGGACGTGGACGTGGACATGGACGTGGACGTGGACATGGACGTGGACGTGGACATGGACGTAGACGTGGACGTGGACGTGGACGTGGACGTGGACGTGGACGTAGACGTGGACGTGGACGTGGACGTGGACATGGACGTGGACGTAGACGTGGACGTGGACATGGACGTGGACGTGGACCTGGACGTGGACGTGGACGTGGACGTGGACATGGACGTAGACATGGACGTGGACGTGGACGTGGACCTGGACGTGGACGTGGACGTGGACGTGGACGTGGACGTGGACATGGACGTGGACGTGGACGTGGACGTGGACGTTGACGTGGACGTGGACCTGGACGTGGACGTGGACGTGGACGTGGACATGGACGTGGACATGGACGTGGACATGGACGTGGACGTGGACATCGACGTGGACGTGGACGTGGACGTGGACATGGACGTGGACATGGACATGGACATGGACATGGACATGGACATGGACGTGGACATGGACATGGACATGGACATGGACATGGACATGGACATGGACATGGACATGGACATGGACGTTGACATCGACGTGGACGTGGACATCGACGTGGACGTGGACATGGACGTGGACATGGACATGGACATGGACATGTACGTGGACATCGACGTGGACGTGGACATGGACGTGGACATCGACGTGGACGTGGACATGGACATGGACATGGACATGGACGTGGACATGGACGTGGACATGGACGTGGACATGGACGTGGACGTGGACGTGGACGTGGACGTCGACGTGGACGTGGACGTGGACGTGGACGTGGACATGGACGTGGACGTGGGCGTGGACGTGGACGTGGACGTGGACGTGGACGTGGACGTGGACGTGGACATGGACGTGGACGTGGACGTGGACATGGGCGTGAACGTGGACGTGGACGTGGACGTGGACGTGGTCGTGGACGTGGACGTGGACGTGGACGTGGACGTGGTCGTGGACGTGGATGTGGACGTGGACGTGGACGTGGACATGGACATGGACGTGGACGTGGACATGGACGTGGATGTGGACGTGGAATTGGACGTGGTCGTGGACGTGGACGTGGACGTGGACGTGGACATGGACGTGGACATGGACATGGACGTGGACGTGGACATGGACGTGGACGTGGACTTGGACGTGGACATGGACGTGGACGTGGACGTGGACATGGACGTGGACATGGTCGCATGCTTGAGTCCGGTCGCATGCTTGTGTCCGGTCGCATGCTTTTGTCCGGACGCATGCTTGTGTCCGGGCGCATGCTTGTGTCCGGACGCATGCTTCTGTCCGGACGCATGCTTGTGTCCGGACGCATGCTTCTGTCCGGACGCATGCTTGTGTCCGGACGCATGCTTGTGTCCGGACGCATGCTTGTGCCCGGTCGCATGCTTGTGTCCGGACGCATGCTTGTGTCCGGACGCATGCTTGTGCCCGATCGCATGCTTGTGTCCGGACGCATGCTTGTGTCCAGACGCATGCTTGTGTCCGGACGCATGCTTGTGTCCGGACGCATGCTTGTGTCCGGACGCATGCTTGTGTCCAGACGCATGCTTGTGTTCGGACGCATGCTTGTGTCCGGACGCATGCTTGTGTCCGAACGCATGCTTGTGTCTGGTCGCATGCTTGTGTCCGACCGCATGCTTGAGTCCGGTCGCATGCTTGTATCCGGACGCATGCTTGTGTCCGGACGCATGCTTGTGTCCAGACGCATGCTTGTGTCCGGACGCATTCTTGTGTCCGGTCGCATGCTTGTGTCCGGATGCATGCTTGAGTCCGGACGCATGCTTGTGTCCGGACGCATGCTTGAGTCCGGTCGCATGCTTGTGTCCGGACGCATGCTTGTGTCCGGACGCATGCTTGGGTCCGGACGCATGCTTGTGTCCGGACGCATGCTTTTGTTCGGACGCATGCTTGTGTCCGGACGCATGCTTGTGTCCGGACGCATGCTTGTGTCCGGACGCATGCTTGGGTCCGGACGCATGCTTGTGTCCGGACGCATGCTTGTGTCCGGATGCATGCTTGTGTCCGGACGCATGCTTGTGTCCAGACGCATGCTTGGGTCCGGACGCATGCTTGTGTCCGGACGCATGCTTGTGTCCTGACGCATGCTTGTGTCCGGACGCATGCTTGTGTCCGGACGCATGCTTGTGTCCTGACGCATGCTTGTGTCCGGACGCATGCTTGGGTCCGGACGCATGCTTGTGTCCGGACGCATGCTTGTGTCCGGACGCATGCTTGTGTCCGGACGCATGCTTGTGTCAGGACGCATGCTTGTGTCCGGATGCATGCTTGTGTCCGGACGCATGCTTTTGTCCGGACGCATGCTTGTGTCCGGACGCATGCTTGTGTCCGGACGCATGCTTGTGTCCGGACGCATGCTTGGGTCCGGACGCATGCTTGTGTCCGGACGCATGCTTGTGTCCGGACGCATGCTTGGGTCCGGACGCATGCTTGGGTCCGGACGCATGCTTGTGTCCGGACGCATGCTTGTGTCCGAACGCATGCTTGTGTCCGGACGCATGCTTGTGTCCGGACGCATGCTTGAGTCCGGTCGCATGCTTGTGTCCGGACGCATGCTTGTGTCCGGACGCATGCTTGTGTACGGACGCATGCTTGTGTCCGGACGCATGCTTGTGTCCGGACGCATGCTTGAGTCCGGTCGCATGCTTGTGTCCGGACGCATGCTTGAGTCCGGACGCATGCTTGTGTCCGGAAGCATGCTTGAGTCCGGTCGCATGCTTGTGTCCGGACGCATGCTTGTGTCCGGACGCATGCTTGAGTACGGTCGCATGCTCGTGTCCGGATGCATGCTTGTGTCCGGACGCATGCTTTTGTCCGGACGCATGCTTGTGTCCGGACGCATGCTTGTGTCCGGACGCATGCTTGTGTCCGGACGCATGCTTGTGTCCGGACGCATGCTTGAGTCCGGACGCATGCTTGTGTCCGGACGCATGCTTGTGTCCGGACGCATGCTTGTGCCCGGTCGCATGCTTGTGTCCGGACGCATGCTTGTGTCCGGACGCATGCTTGTGTCCGGACGCATGCTTGTGTCCGGAAGCATGCTTGAGTCCGGACGCATGCTTGTGTCCGGAAGCATGCTTGAGTCCGGTCGCATGCTTGTGTCCGGACGCATGCTTGTGTCCGGACGCATGCTTGTGTCCAGACGCATGCTTGTGTCCGGACGCATTCTTGTGTCCGGTCGCATGCTTGTGTCCGGATGCATGCTTGAGTCCGGACGCATGCTTGTGTCCGGACGCATGCTTGAGTCCGGTCGCATGCTTGTGTCCAGACGCATGCTTGTGTCCGGACGCATGCTTGTGTTTGGACGCATGCTTGTGCCCGGTCGCATGCTTGTGTCCGGACGCACGCTTGTGTCCGGTCGCATGCTTGTGTCCGGACGCATGCTTGTGTCTGGACGCATGCTTGTGTCTGGACGCATGCTTGGGTCCGGACGCATGCTTGTGTCCGGACGCATGCTTGTGTCCGGACGCATGCTTGTGTCCTGACGCATGCTTGTGTCCGGACGCATGCTTGTGTCCGGACGCATGCTTGTGTCCGGACGCATGCTTGTGTCCGGACGCATGCTTGGGTCCGGACGCATGCTTGTGTCTGGACGCATGCTTGTGTCCGGACGCATGCTTGTGTCCGGTCGCATGCTTGTGTCCAGACGCATGCTTGTGTCCGGACGCATGCTTGGGTCCGGACGCATGCTTGTGTCCGGACGCATGCTTGTGTCCGGACGCATGCTTGGGTCCGGACGCATGCTTGGGTCCGGACGCATGCTTGGGTCCGGACGCATGCTTGTGTCCGAACGCATGCTTGTGTCCGGACGCATGCTTGTGTCCGGACGCATGCTTGAGTCCGGTCGCATGCTTGTGTCCGGACGCATGCTTGTGTCCGGACGCATGCTTGTGTACGGACGCATGCTTGTGTATGGACGCATGCTTGTGTCCGGACGCATGCTTGAGTCCGGTCGCATGCTTGTGTCCGGACGCATGCTTGAGTCCGGACGCATGCTTGTGTCCGGAAGCATGCTTGAGTCCGGTCGCATGCTTGTGTTCGGACGCATGCTTGTGTCCGGACGCATGCTTGTGTCCGGACGCATGCTTGAGTACGGACGCATGCTTGTGTCCGGACGCATGCTTGTGCCCGGTCGCATGCTTGTGTCCGGACGCATGCTTGTGTCCGGTCGCATGCTTGTGTCCAGACGCATGCTTGTGTCCGGACGCATGCTTGTGTCCGGACGCATGCTTGAGTCCGGTCGCATGCTTGTGTCCGGACGCATGCTTGTGTCCAGACGCATGCTTGTGTCCGGACGCATGCTTGTGCCCGGTCGCATGCTTGTGTCCGGACGCATGCTTGTGTCCAGACGCATGCTTGTGTCCGGACGCATGCTTGTGTCCGGACGCATGCTTGTGTCCGGACGCATGCTTGTGTCCGGACGCATGCTTGTGCCCGGTCGCATGCTTGTGTCCGGACGCATGCTTGTGTCCGGACGCATGCTTGTGTCCGGACGCATGCTTGTGTCCGGACGCATGCTTGTGTCCGGACGCATGCTTGTGTCCGGACGCATGCTTGTGTCCGGACGCATGCTTGTGTCCGCACGCATGCTTGTGTCCGCACGCATGCTTGTGTCTGACCGCATGCTTGAGTCCGGTCGCATGCTTGTATCCGGACGCATGCTTGTGTCCGGACGCATGCTTGTGTCTAGACGCATGCTTGTGTCCGGACGCATTCTTGTGTCCGGTCGCATGCTTGTGTCCGGATGCATGCTTGAGTCCGGACGCATGCTTGTGTCCGGACGCATGCTTGAGTCCGGTCGCATGCTTGTGTCCGGACGCATGCTTGAGTCTGGACGCATGCTTGTGTCCGGAAGCATGCTTGAGTCCGGTCGCATGCTTGTGTCCGGACGCATGCTTGTGTCCAGACGCATGCTTGAGTACGGTCGCATGCTCGTGTCCGGACGCATGCTTGTGTCCGGACGCATGCTTTTGTCCGGACGCATGCTTGTGTCCGGACGCATGCTTGTGTCCGGACGCATGCTTGTGTCCGGACGCATGCTTGTGTTCGGACGCATGCTTGTGTCCGGACGCATGCTTGTGTCCGGACGCATGCTTGAGTCCGGTCGCATGCTTGTGTCCGGACGCATGCTTGTGTCCGGACGCATGCTTGTGCCCGGTCGCATGCTTGTGTCCGGACGCATGCTTGTGTCCGGACGCATGCTTGTGTCCGGACGCATGCTTGTGTCCGGACGCATGCTTGTGTCTGGACGCATGCTTGTGTCCGGATGCATGCTTGTGTCCGCACGCATGCTTGTGTCCGCACGCATGCTTGTGTCCGGACGCATGCTTGTGTCCGGACGCATGCTTGTGTCCAGACGCATGCTTGTGTCCGAACGCATGCTTGTGTCCAGTCGCATGCTTGTGTCCGACCGCATGCTTGAGTCCGGTCGCATGCTTGTGTCCGGACGCATGCTTGTGTCCGGACGCATGCTTGTGTCCGGACGCATGCTTGTGTCCGGACGCATTCTTGTGTCCGGTCGCATGCTTGTGTCCGGTCGCATGCTTGTGTCCGGACGCATGCTTGTGCCCGGTCGCATGCTTGTGTCCGGACGCATGCTTGTGTCCGGACGCATGCTTGAGTCCGGTCGCATGCTTGTGTCCAGACGCATGCTTGTGTCCGGACGCATGCTTGTGTTTGGACGCATGCTTGTGCCCGGTCGCATGCTTGTGTCCGGACGCATGCTTGTGTCCGGACGCATGCTTGAGTCCGGACGCATGCTTGTGTCCGGACGCATGCTTGTGTCCGGACGCATGCTTGTGCCCGGTCGCATGCTTGTGTCCGGACGCATGCTTGTGTCCGGACGCATGCTTGTGTCCGGACGCATGCTTGTGTCCGGAAGCATGCTTGAGTCCGGACGCATGCTTGTGTCCGGAAGCATGCTTGAGTCCGGTCGCATGCTTGTGTCCGGACGCATGCTTGTGTCCGGACGCATGCTTGTGTCCAGACGCATGCTTGTGTCCGGACGCATTCTTGTGTCCGGTCGCATGCTTGTGTCCGGATGCATGCTTGAGTCCGGACGCATGCTTGTGTCCGGACGCATGCTTGAGTCCGGTCGCATGCTTGTGTCCAGACGCATGCTTGTGTCCGGACGCATGCTTGTGTTTGGACGCATGCTTGTGCCCGGTCGCATGCTTGTGTCCGGACGCACGCTTGTGTCCGGTCGTATGCTTGTGTCCGGACGCATGCTTGTGTCTGGACGCATGCTTGTGTCTGGACGCATGCTTGGGTCCGGACGCATGCTTGTGTCCGGACGCATGCTTGTGTCCGGACGCATGCTTGTGTCCTGACGCATGCTTGTGTCCGGACGCATGCTTGTGTCCGGACGCATGCTTGTGTCCGGACGCATGCTTGTGTCCGGACGCATGCTTGGGTCCGGACGCATGCTTGTGTCCGGACGCATGCTTGTGTCCGGACGCATGCTTGTGTCCGGTCGCATGCTTGTGTCCAGACGCATGCTTGTGTCCGGACGCATGCTTGGGTCCGGACGCATGCTTGTGTCCGGACGCATGCTTGTGTCCGGACGCATGCTTGGGTCCGGACGCATGCTTGGGTCCGGACGCATGCTTGGGTCCGGACGCATGCTTGTGTCCGAACGCATGCTTGTGTCCGGACGCATGCTTGTGTCCGGACGCATGCTTGAGTCCGGTCGCATGCTTGTGTCCGGACGCATGCTTGTGTCCGGACGCATGCTTGTGTACGGACGCATGCTTGTGTATGGACGCATGCTTGTGTCCGGACGCATGCTTGAGTCCGGTCGCATGCTTGTGTCCGGACGCATGCTTGAGTCCGGACGCATGCTTGTGTCCGGAAGCATGCTTGAGTCCGGTCGCATGCTTGTGTTCGGACGCATGCTTGTGTCCGGACGCATGCTTGTGTCCGGACGCATGCTTGAGTACGGACGCATGCTTGTGTCCGGACGCATGCTTGTGCCCGGTCGCATGCTTGTGTCCGGACGCATGCTTGTGTCCGGTCGCATGCTTGTGTCCAGACGCATGCTTGTGTCCGGACGCATGCTTGTGTCCGGACGCATGCTTGAGTCCGGTCGCATGCTTGTGTCCGGACGCATGCTTGTGTCCAGACGCATGCTTGTGTCCGGACGCATGCTTGTGCCCGGTCGCATGCTTGTGTCCGGACGCATGCTTGTGTCCAGACGCATGCTTGTGTCCGGACGCATGCTTGTGTCCGGACGCATGCTTGTGTCCGGACGCATGCTTGTGTCCGGACGCATGCTTGTGCCCGGTCGCATGCTTGTGTCCGGACGCATGCTTGTGTCCGGACGCATGCTTGTGTCCGGACGCATGCTTGTGTCCGGACGCATGCTTGTGTCCGGACGCATGCTTGTGTCCGGACGCATGCTTGTGTCCGGACGCATGCTTGTGTCCGCACGCATGCTTGTGTCCGCACGCATGCTTGTGTCTGACCGCATGCTTGAGTCCGGTCGCATGCTTGTATCCGGACGCATGCTTGTGTCCGGACGCATGCTTGTGTCTAGACGCATGCTTGTGTCCGGACGCATTCTTGTGTCCGGTCGCATGCTTGTGTCCGGATGCATGCTTGAGTCCGGACGCATGCTTGTGTCCGGACGCATGCTTGAGTCCGGTCGCATGCTTGTGTCCGGACGCATGCTTGAGTCTGGACGCATGCTTGTGTCCGGAAGCATGC